TCTAGGGGTGTAGGGGTTTAGGGTTTAGGGCTTTTGAACTCCAAATTCCTGCCCAACCCCATGCCTTCGCACTCATTCTTCTTCAGCAGCAGCACCTTTGCAGCTGCATCTGACGAAATGGAGCCCCCATGCACAAGATGTGTAAAGGCTGCAAGATAGTGGCACAAGGTACCCCGTGCATGCAATCCACGGTCAAGATTTCCTAAACACTCCCATCGCACCCAAGATGGCCACGCATGGGAAGCCTCGAAACAAGCACTTGCCCACTTGACGTGTTGAACGCCCATGTCGCGTACTTGGATGTCTATCCCAACTTGAAGACTTGTTCCAAAACAAGGTGCCCCTCTCCGAGAGTCCCTGTAAAACAAGAACTATAGTTGTCTAGGGTCTATATATTGTTCTGAGAACTATGCCAAGAACAGCTAACAGTTATCAGGAAGAGTCTATGAAAGACTATTGATAACAGCAGTCAAATCATGATACTAAAAATAGTAATAGTAGTAATAACAGCAATATTAATAGTAGTAATAGTAACAGTACTAACTGTCATAATAATGATAATAAGAACCATAGTGATAACCATAGTTTTTGTAACAAAGAAAGACTAGTAGTACTGATAGTAATAACTCATAATGGTGATAACAATAGTGACTGGGTCTAAACCCTCAACCCTAACCCCTAAACCTTAAACCCTAAACCCTAACCCCTAAACTCCATCTGGGGCCCTTGCCCCCGAAATCACCTTTGAGAAGTCCCGTAGGTTGAAGGTGTAGTGTACCTGTCTCAGGGGTTTAGTGTTTAGAGTCATCAAGTGGCTATGTAGGGGATATATAGGGGTTACATAAGCATTATATTGGGGTTTTATAGGGTTTATGGTGTGGGATTTAGGACGTGGGGTTTAGGATTTGCGATTTAGGGTTTAGGGCTTAGGGTTTGGGATTTAAGGTTTAGGGCTTAGGATTGAGGATTTAGGGCGTGTAGGGCTTAGGAGTCCAAGTACACAAGGAGCATATACTCCCCCACAATCTGTAGTACAATTACTATTGCCAAAGACTCGAGTACCCAATTACTGAGTAGTTGGACCCTTTGGGGTCTACTTGTCCCAAAGTGGTTCTGCAAAGAGCCATGGTAGTTGCATCCTCAGATTCCAGAACCCTGCGATGTCACATTATGGTGCCTACTAAACGCTACATAGTAGCTTCCATGTCATTTCCGTTTTCTTTTCCTTATTGGGATACTATCCCAATCCCTTTATTCGCCTCATACTGAGGCTTCGCCACAGTATCAGGCAACCACCAAAGCAGAAACGCCCTGAGGAAGACTTCTTAGGGACCGGACCTCGAGGAATCATGAATCTTAGGGCTTACCTCTAAGGGATTTGGAACCCCAGTAGAAATTATAATTTCAGCTAAATATCAGGATTCTAGGTAACAGAAATTTAAAAATATTTTCAGGAACCTTGTAGTTAAGTCCAGTTTCAAGGGTCTAAGGTTTTGAGGCTTTAGGGTTTCAGGGTTTCGGGAAAGTTCTCTACCGAGAAGCCCGTGGCATCGGAATTGCACCTGGCTTGCAAGACTTGGCCAACATCTGCAAGACCACCACATCCGAAACTGCCAAATCCCCGAACCTGCTATTGCCCAGACCTCTCACCCCACCTCGGAACCTCTAAAAGTCCGAGTAGTCAATAACCATATACTTCTCCAAAACCTGTTACCAAAACTCCCCAGTACCCAAGTATTGGGGGCATCGTCCCTTAGGGAACGCCATTGCACTCCCAGGCCTTCATGGGTGTGGGGCGGAGCTCGTTCGACCTCGGGCATCTGCGATGCAAGTGTCAGGCTCGAAGGGCTAAAGTCAGCGTGTAGGAAAATTCTGGGCAAAGAGTAAGAATTCATGATCCTGAGTTAAGGCCCTTTGGGGTATATTCACAATAGTAGCTACAACTGGGAGTGAACAAATTTGAGCTCGCTGGCTTACGGGACTGCCCTAAACCCTAAATCCGGTCTAGGGTTTAGGATTCAGGGCTTCGAGGGCTGGACACTTGTAGGGGACAGGCCATTAACTACAAAATCCTGAACTGGATAGGAACTCCTCTACCCTAATTAATCCCAAAACCCAAAGCCCCAAACACTAAGCCCAACACTCCTAACCCTAAGCCGTAAACCAAAACCCTAAACCCTTAACCCTCAGGATAACAACCCAAATAGCAAGGTTTTTATACTAATATTAATCCTAAAACCCTATTATTTGGGTCCTGGGAGCCTTAGAGTAATGCAAGGTACACCTTGGCTTTGCTACTTTGACTGAGCTGTGTAGTCCAGCACATCATCCCCATGTTTGGACCTTGTACTCAACCAATCCCTTCATATAACCTCTGTAATTACTCAGGTTGTTCATTTCATGCTCAATGCAAAATTCTTTATTTGATTCTCGAGTATGGCCCACGAAATAGAAGTGGCCCTCAGTTGCGCGCGTGTTTTTGTAGATCTCCAAGGTGGCCTGGACCATCTTTTTGCTCAGCCCTGCCACGTCGCCAGGGTAGTTATCTGCCTCCAAGAGGAAATAGGGGAAGGTTGGCTGGACGTGGAATCCAAGCTCTAGGATTTCAGAGCTTAAGTGTAGGGTAGGGTTTAGGGTTTTGGGTTTAGGGCTTTGGGTTTAGGGTTTAGGGGTTTGAAGTGTATACAATTGAGGGTTTGGGATGTAGCCTTCAGTTTGGGTACATAGAAGCCTTGTGCTCAGCCTTCTGGCTTGCCAAAGTGAGGTGCTACAGTGTATAGACTTCATTTTTTGCGTCTATATAATATATTATGAGCTATAGTCCAAACTCCTAGTGTCCCTTCAATAACCCCTATAATACTCCCCTATATCATCCCCTATATAGCCCCCTTTAAGGATTTTAGACTTTAGCTCATATGAGAGTTCACAAGCTGTTGGCCTTCAACTTGCTGAGGGTCCAGCTACATAGTCCACATATAAGAGCTCACTATATCATCGATGACAAGCACAACCTTAATCCCAGCCTAAACCCTAAACCCTAAACCCTAAACCCTAAAATAATGCCTTCCCTCAATGTTGGAACCTGGGGATGTCGCGGACACTCTCAAGGAACACATGTTTGAGGTGTGGGTTTGGAGGCTTACCTAGCCCCTCCAATGTAGTTCCGCTTTGGGTTTGGCATATTTTTTGGCTAGGGCTCCTATTAGGACTACCAGGACTACCACATTGGAGGATTTCGGTAGGCCTGAACGTTGATGTGTCTTTGTCCCATGCGATCCGTGAGTTGATCGAGAGAATGCGGAAACCCAATCCGCTTCTTTTTCGATGCGCTGCATTATAACAGCCAGCTGTTAAATGGCCCAAAACAAGATCAGGCAGAACGTCGTGTACGACCTTTGCCTTTCAAATGCTGCTAAACACGCAGCAGCGTGTACACCGGTGGATAGACAGATAGATAGATCGATAGACAGACAAATAAACAGATAGACGAACATACACACATTTCCATAACCTCAAACTCGAACGCGCATCCGCAAATGCATGCAGTCACGTCAGGGATTGAGAGAGCCACGTGGCTTACTAATTAGGTATAGAGGAGCCCTCAAATAGAAAACGCAGGTTTGGGGATCTGTTCGCATGTAATATGACTGTACGAAATGCAACCCCGAACGCCGAACCCAAAGCCAGCAAACCCTCAGCCCCAACCCCAAACCCAAAACCCGAATGCAGCTCCAAACCCCAAACAGCAACCTTGTGAAACCTTAAACCCTTCAAGTCGCACCCGGAACTTCCACTCGAGGATGGTGTTGAAGATCTGCCTTGGATGTGGGTCGGGCAGAGCCATGTACAGATATTGAAGTGGGGGGGAGACTTATCTATAGAGCTTCCAGATTAGGCTTTGGGGCTTCCCCTCTCCGATCCCCCCTCCGCATCAGCGGAGGCGGGTGCGCGACAGCGTGAACAATAATGTGTATCGCCTGAAGAAGCCGTGAACCTCCCATATAGGTGCCAGCGCTTCTGGGGAACAACATTGGGGCTGCCGAGTGCAAAGATGGAGCGCAAAGCTCGAGCAGGTTTGATCTCCACAGCAATTTACAGGTAACATACTTAGGCTAGGGGCCATATTAGACTAGATTAGGTGCCATATTGTACTGTGGATCGCATGGAGATTTGGAACCTATGATATGAGCTGCAGCCCATATTCCCATAGAATTAAAGTTGACAGTAGCTCATGTAACCACTATAAACCACTGTATGATCCCGAGCAACACTTGCACACCCTGGCAAGCTTTGCATGCACCGCGGCTTCGAGCACAAGTTTCTCTCGAGTCTACGCTCTACACAGCTGGCAAGTACCAACTGGAGGAGAGGAGCAGATTGAAATATGCAATTGAGGTCGCAACGCAGAAGGGGGCAACTAAGTACTGCAAGAAGATGGCTGTAGACATGGCATCCTTGTTCTGCCCACCTGATTCGGCCATCACTGCGACATTGTTGGCTGTCGGTGTGCAGCTGACGATGAGAGCAACAAGCCACAAGGAGGGATCTTTGGGCCCAATGCGGATGAGCCCATAGACGATGGCACTCATGCAGAGCGGCATGAACACCAACTTGCAGAGGACGATAGCAACTCCCAGCCTGATCGGAAGAGCTTCGAAGTTGGCCCCTTTGGAAAGAGCACTGCCCAAAACAAGAAGGTTCAGAGGCACTGCCGCATCCCCAAGCTTGTAGATGCCATCGTACAACCACGTCAGGGGCGCATCGTTGTCCTCGTCCAGGGTTGGGCCGGGGAAAATGTTTAAGCGGTTTAAACGAACCCATGTTTAAACACAAAATGTTTAAACATTTTGACTCTGAACCTGCTCAGTGTTTAAACGGTTTAAAACGTTTACATGTTTAAACGGTTTAAACGGTGTAAACCGTTACCAAGAGGAACCGTACGTTTAAGCCGTTTAAACCGTTTAATCGTTTAAACGTTTAAACTTGGACCATTTTGCAGCCACGACGGCTTTGATCGCTAAGTTCTACCATCGCCTTGCAGGGCAGCCCCCTATACACCATAAACCCCCTCCTACTACTATTATTATTCAAACCCCTTAAACACCGAGGACCGATGATACCTCCCAGGCCTCCCAGGGCCTCTCGGGCCCCCCAGCACCTTCACTGGCTGACTCCTCTAAGCATATATGTGATGGATAGCATTAGGTTTACACCGTTTAAACCGTTTAAACTTGCATCATGGGGCACGTTTAAACGTTTAAACGGTTTAAAACGTTTAAACCACGAGGACCAAGATCTCCCAGGGCCTCCCAGGCCTCCCAGACCCTCCCAAGACCTCCCCGGCCTCCCAGCGCCTCTCAGGGCCTCCCAGGGCCTTCATTGGATGAGTCCTCTGAGCATACATTGCAATATGTGATGGATAGTGCTACGTTTAAACCGCTTAAACCGTTTAAACGTTTAAACTTGGCTCATGGGGCACGTTTAAACGTTGAAACGGTTTAAACCGTTTAAACCACGAGGACCAAGATCTCCCAGGGCCTCCCAGGCCTCCCAGACCCTCCCAAGGCCTCCCAGCGCCTCTCAGCGCCTCTCAGGGCCTCCCAGGGCCTTTGCTTGGATGAGTCCTCTGAGCATACATTGCAACATGTGATGGATAGTGCTACGTTTAAACCGTTTAAACGTTTAAGCTTGGCTCATGGACTCCGTTTAAACGGTTTAAACCGTTTAAACCACGAGGACCAAGATCTTCTAGGGTCTCGCTTAGTATCACACTTACTACGTCCGCCTTGACGCTCCAAATGCTACTATGGAGGAGATCTTGCACCCACTAGGGTTCCTAAAAAATTGCCCATCTGACATCTTGGGAGTTCACGTACCTATTGGTCCTGGCAGATACTGGCCTGCTCACGAATATAATTCAGAATTAAAATGCTCACAAGCGGTTAACCAGTCTTCCCTGTGGAACCCAGACTGCGAAGCGCACAAAATTTGAAAATTAGCCACTGAAACCTGTTCGCAAAGCCTTGAACCCAGCAGACCCAAAAGCGCCCAATAGCGTCCCTTATGCTCGAAATGTTTAAACCACTGCTACCCAGAAAATGTTTGAACTGTTTAAACCCGTGTTACCCAGAAAATGTTGAAACGGTTTAAACGCATCCCAGCAGGAATTCAACAAGAAATGTTTAAACGGTTTAAACCCACCAAAATGTTTTAACGTTTAAACCTATACGGTGTTTGGAGCGACCCTGTCCTGGTCGAAGACATCCACCATCCAAGCCCTGACCGGTGACAAGCCAATGACCAAACCAAGGATCGCAGCAATGACAGGAGGCACCAGCGCCTGCTCTATCATGGCGCGAAGGCCAAGACTTTCGCCTGGCTTGTCTGAGCCCTCTCCTTGGTTCAGAAGTGAGCGGCCGACGCCCCACTGAAGGACAGGGTATAACATCAAGTAAACTGGAAGGCGCAGAAGCGGGTCGATCTGGCCCATGTTCCCTGAGGCTGGGCTGCCCAATGATATCACTGACAATAGAACAATTGGCAACCCTGTTGAATTGCCAAAGGCCACAGCACAAACGGTTCCCCGTGAGAAATCGCTCGGTGCAGACGTTAGCATTGCTGCCGCTTTCCCCAAAAGTACGCCAAGTCCTACAACAGCCATGGGTAGGAGAAAGAGGATCCAGCTGCTCATGATAATGCCCACGAAAGGCTGGCAGGGAGCACACTGATTCCCACCCGTGTTGCACTGGTCACAGTAGAGGATGCGCGAGAACAAAAGGGCCGGAATGGCGAGCTTCATTGTGATCTCGCCCATGGCCTTTCGCACTGCCAGGGTAATGATGCCCTGCCGGGTAGCCACTACCCCCACAGCAATGACGGATGCTGCAACACCAATCGCCTTCAAAGACGACACAAGGATCGACAAGAATCCTGAAGCAGTGGAGGAACTCTGCATTTCCAGGTTCGACATGCTGTGCTCCCGAAAGAGCGTACGAGGCTGCTGCGCCTGCGTTGCATGTGCCTGCTGTAGTAGAGATGAAGTCCCTGTAGGTGCTGCATGGGGATCGGCGCATTGTTCAGCAAATGCAAAGGTCACGATGGCGGTGAAGATCAACAGCTGCATCGCTTGCGGTAAGAAATGAGGCAAGATGGTGGCTTCAAAGTTTGTGGCAATTTGAGCAAATGGCCACTTCAGCCCGTGGGCTCGGGTTGAAGACTAGCATCCATTCAATGCAGCCTACAGTCCTTCTCCATCATTCCTCTAAGATTAACAACAGGTCATATTGTTATGAAGAAATTAAAAAGCTCCTTTGGAGGAGTGCCTAGGAGACCTTGCCTTCAAGGCCATCAAGCCTATAGATTTTCGGCTTGTTGTGACTGAGTCCCTAAGCCCCAAACCCTAAACCCTAATCATTGAGCAATGCAAGGACTTGTCTTGAAATGCATCTTCCAGACCACTACCTTAACCCCAACAGTATGCAGGCAGCCTTTTTGGCTCTTGTTGTTATATGATATATGGTACTGGTAGTCTCCCAAAGCAAGGGAACCCCAATGTAGACCGCAATATACTATAATCCTTATTATCGCGACCTACCCCTAATTTTAGGAAACCCTTGGCCCTAAACCCTCTATATCCCTATATATCCCCTATACACCCCTTTAAAGGTACCCCTATGGGTTTGGGGCCATTATGCTTCCTACTTTTTGAGGTGCAGGTAGTTCCATGAGGCTCCCTGCACCGCCAGCTTCTGACTGCACTGGAGTATTGATACGGGGGTTTCCCAAAACTGGGGTTTATAAGGGGTTATATAGGGATAATGGAAAAGAAAATGGAAGCTCCTATTTAGGGTTTAGGGTTTCCGAAATTAGGGGCACCATTTTTGAGTGTTCCTACAATAAGGATTATAATCTATTGAGGTCTATATTGGAGTCCCTTTATTCTGGGAAAGTACCATATGAACATCTCGCGATGCCCTGGAAAGGTTGAGGGACGGCAGATCGCAAAACTCGCAGCACCTTCGCGGAAATTCACCATGAGAAAGTCAAGGCCCAACCCGAAGTGACCCGGGTACCTACACTTCCCCCAAAGGTTCAAGGACCCAAATAATAGGGCTTCAGGGCCCAAATACCATTAACAGCACAGTATTTGGGCCCTGAGGCTCTATTATTTGGGTCCTTGGACCCTTAGGGTTCGCAACTGCAGGTTCAAAAGCAGAGAAGCAAACGAGCCCACCCCAAAAGAGAACGTCGAAGCCCGCTGGAGTACGGTTTGGAGGGGATGGGTGTTACACGAAATAGTATATAAACCCTAAGCCATAAACAGTTGTTTCCATTTTCTTTTCCATTACCCCAATATAACCCCTATAAAACCCCAGTACACTCTAGTAGTTTCCATTCTATTTTCCATTACCCCAGGGATGTTCACATTATCTTCCCAAACTCCTCCCACATCCTGAGCTCGAAGATGCAAACCCACACATGGGTAGATGCGCCCTCTCTGAGATATGGCCGGAATGTACATGGGGACACCCAACTAGACCGGACTTTGAAAAACAACGACAACACCCTAAGGGTCCAAGGACCCAAATAATACGGTTTTTACAAGAATAGTTTGGCCCTAAAAACCCTATTATTTGGGTCCTTGGACCCTTAGGGACATTGACTAGCACCGGGCCATACCTTCTGAAACCAACCTTGATGAGCACTGATGCGACCCAAGTCTCATCATGTTGTCATCGTCGAGCAGCGGAAACCCAACCATGTACATGTGCCCGATTATCTGAGGGCGCGGTGGAGGATTTTGGGGGTAAGGAAACTGATAGACTCGGAGATTTGCAAAAAAGCCCGGAATTCCCCAAAGGAAAAGTCCAATGTTGGCGGCCCTGCTACTGGAACGGATCCTACGAAACCAAGTAGATCGGCGCCTCCGATTTTGATACACATAGCTCTCATCTTGCCCAAGGTTTCACTCTGCAAGAGCCCAAGCAACCCAAAACCCCATAACGAAGGAATCTATGTGTCTCTACGCGTCTGTGGGTGTTTCCGGCTAAACCGTGGTCAAAAAAACATGTTTGGACTGGGGCATGTTTCGGGGGTATGTTTCGGGGTATGTTTCGAGGTATGTTTCGCAGTGCTGGGCTCTTGACGAAATGGATGTTGTGGGGGTATGCATCGGGGTATGTATTGAGGTACGTATCGGGGTATGTATCGGAGGGGTCAAACATGCGCCCTTTCATGAATTCCTGACGCGCCATTTTTGGAAGCAGCCATGTATAGATAGAGAGGAAGAGGGGGGGAGAGGGAGAGAGAGAGAGGGAGAGAACAGAAACATCTCATTTCGAGATCCTCTAAACACATTCAGGCTAAGGTGCGCTCCCGGATTACGAGATTCGGGGATCTTGGGCACTTGGGGACATTCCTGTAGACCTCCAACAGCACGCGGCTAAGGTTTAGGGTTTAGGGTTTAGGGGATTTAGGGTGGTTTAAGGGACTCAGGGTTTAGGGTTTTGGGGGCTGCAGCGTCCGACAAGCAAGGAAGCAAATATTTGCATCCCCGCAAACAGGTTCTGCCAGAAGGCCCTCAAATTTGCATATGGGCCAAGGGTATTCCCTCTAATAGGGTCTGAGGGTTCAAGTACCCAACAATTAGGTACTTGGGATGATGGAAACGATACTACAGGTTTTGGCTAAATATATGATTATTAAGGTCAGTGCCCCCTACAACGTGCCATACATCGCCAATGAAAGGCAATAGGAGGTAAACCCTAGGCCCTAAATCTAAACCCTTGACGCGAAATTTATGCATGGAAACCCTAAACCCTAAACAACCACCAGGAGGGTCTTCGTTGGGACATTGGGAGCCCTAATCCCCAAACCATAAACCTTAAACCTTAACCCCTAAACACTAATTAACCCCAAACCCTAAACTCTAAACCTTAACCCATCAACCCTAAGCCTTAAACCCCAAACCCTAAACCTTAACCCCGAAACCGTCAACTTCTCGGGCTCAAGCTCTTGGAGTGATAAAGTTTCGGCCACCACCTCCCAATGCTCGCAGAACACATCCATGTAGCTAAAGGGGGTTATAGGGGTTATATAGCGGTGATATAGTGGTTACAGGGGGTATAGAGTGGTTATAGGGGTTATACTGGTTATAGGGGTTATTGGTGGTTTTATGGGTTTGGGGTTCAGGTTTTAAGGTTGAGGGTTAATTACCTCAACAATCGAGACTCGAAAGGAAAATGCATGGAGGATAGAATGGAAAGTGGGAGTATACATGGGGTTCACAGGATTTGGATATGAAAAGCTGTCAAAGTCATGATCCCTTCTGGAGTATCCTGATGATTAGGGCCCACATCGTGGGCACCCAAAAGGGACCAGAATGTTGACAACCACCCATGTAGTATACACTTAGGCCCCTTTAGCTACACGGAAAACCCTTTGAGACCTCTTGAATGATGTACAGTTTTCTCAGCCTTCAACGTCAAACTTGGAAAAACGAGAGCAGTTCAATAATTCCACAAACTCTGGAATCATGTGCCGGGGCACTCTCTGATAGGTTCAAGTGGTCACTTAGCGAGCTTTGCATGCTTTTTCTCTCTCCTTTGAACCGCAACACCCCTATAACCACCTCTACTGTGACTTGGCCTAAACTGGTGTTCCCAAGATGCTGAAGCTTACGTAGAGATCCGCATTAAAGTTTGAACCGCGCTATAGGAACCCAAATTATCATGAATCTAAGGAAACCCACACTTGGTTGTTTCCCGAAATACAGGGAAGCCCAATATGGACCCACACATGCTATCGCCCTTATTATGGGGAGCTAAAAAAATCACCCCTACTTTTCGAAAACCCTATAAGCCCCAAACTGAAACCCTGAACCCTGAACCCTAAACCCCTAAACCCCAAACCCTAAAGCTTACAATCCATCCATGGACCCAGAAGCATCTCAAACCCTCGAGCAATGATTCAAGGCCTGGAGGGCCCATGGCAGCAAAGTAGAGGACCTCAAGCGAACGACAGCTTAAGACTTTAGACTGGGAGCCACTAACAATAGCAATAGGACTCACAATCATAACAGTAAGAGTGATAGTAGCCATTACAATAGTGAGTAAGTAGTAACAATACTAGTATAAAAAAAAGGGATAATCATAACAGTGATAAAGGGAACAATACTAAGATGTTTAGCTCTAGGGCATGCGCGTCAGGGACACTCAGAGCGGGAACAAATGATCTTAGGTAGGTTGCCGAGGCAAATTAACGGATCTTTTCGCAGGACCGACAATTTCTGGAGCGGGCCTGGCTCCCTAAACCCTAAACCCCAAACCCTAAACGGGACCAACAAATAGCAGCGAGGCTGCTGTGACTTGGCCCAAGATGCCTGGCAACAAGTTAGCAAACTCTAAGGGTCCATGTACCCAATCATTGGGTCCCTTTAACGGGATTTGCAGGACATTCAGGGGTATGTAGGGGTATGTAGTGTTGAGAGTTAAGGGTCTATGTATCTAACAATTGGGTATTTGGGGCCCTGGTTTTCGCCATGATAGGGAAGACTTCAGCTACGCAAGCTACAGCCTGTGGATCCAAATCGCCGAAAATAGGTAGTATGTATAGTCTCTATGGACCAAAGAATAATCCGACGTAGCACTTATTACTACTGGAACCCTAAATCCTAAACACTAAACCCTAAACCCCTAACCCCCTACGGGCCAAACTGGCATTCAGGAATCTAGGCCAACCTTCCTGTCTGCAAAGGTCACCCGTGCTACAAGCTGATCTGCAACTGGGTCACATCAATGATGCTGCGGAATGGGTGCGTGGCGTCCTGTAAAGAAAAGAAAGCACAGGAACAACTGCTCTTACCTAGAATTGCATCATTCAGTGGCATCTCTTGATCTAATCCTGGCTTGCATCTTGGCAACGGCCATCCTGCGACAACGAAAGTCTAAACACAGAACATGATCCAGTGCAGCATGCATTTTGGGTCTGGGGTCCTGCATTTTGGGTCTGGGGTCCTGCTCCCTACAACCTAAACCCAAATCCCTAAACGCAAAGCCTTGATTTTGAATCTCTGCCTGTTCTACTCATGAAGGCACACCTGAGGCAACCCAGTATTCACGTTTTCAACGCGTCGCAATGGAGTCCGTAAAAACCCTACACCCCCCAAGGGTCCATGTAGGTATATGGTATATACTTAGGGCCCAAAGGGGTTTCCATATACCTACTTTGAGGCCCACGTATATACCATATAACTACATGGAACCCTAAATCACCAATCTGTAAGATCTCCCCCGCAAGTCTTGTGAGAGGGGTTCCCCCTGTCCGGACTTCCCTTTTGGGTTCCTCGCATGGGGCTTCTCAACTAGGGGCCCTTAGGGACCGTAGGGATGCGTGCTGGTGACAAAGAAACTACCGAAGTTGGAGATTATGAAGCGCCTTGTAACCATGATTTTGAAAAAGTCCCATGTTAACAAGCTTTCAAGGCGGTCCTTGCGATCAAACCACCCGCCGGTGGGACCATAAGCAGTGGCATCCTCAACGTAAGATGGAGTTGTGACATTGCACTAGCGGTATTGAGACATTATAGTAGTTTAAGGATATTGCGGCAGGAGCCTTGCGAACTATGCAGGGTACTCTAGTAAACTCTTCAGGTGCCTGTATCAGGCTTCTCTGCTAAGCAAAGCTATCCCCATGCGGACTGCTATGGCATTTGTTGGTATCGATTGTGTTGATACCCTGCTCATTTTTTGACGCTATAAATTACGTACTAGCATGATGACGATCACCACCGGTTGATAATCCCCTCCTCTTCCATCAAAGCCCCAAAACCCCTAATGTTGAATATTCCTTAAGTAATATGATATATCATAATGGGACTGCTCAAACTTAGGGGGGTGGGAGTTTCAAAGTAAGGGGTGTTACCAAAACACGCACACACCAAGACTACCTCCGTTGATGATTCTCAGACATGCCGGGGAAAGCATTGAGAATCTTGGTTATTGTGTTGGCGCCGTAGGGGTACGGATTCTGTGAAATTCTGGAGTCACAGGCTGTGCGCTGTCTTGCGTTTCAGGTTCAGAAGCATCTAGGCTTCAGGCTTCCAGAGTGATACCGAGAAGCCCTTAACCAAGAAGCGCTGAAAAGAAAGGTGCTCAGAGATGAAAACCCATGGAAGTCTAACATGATATTCCTGTTTCGGGCCAAGATCTTTTTCCGAAAGGACCTCTGGAGCTGGCAATTGAAATCTGGTTTTCGAAAATGATGGATGCTTTTTTGGAAGTCTCAACAAACAGGATTACAGTGACATAGTGGATTGGGGTCTATATTGGGTACCCCTATTAAGTCTGGGCTTTGAATGCTCTACTGGGGTCTACGGGAGGTACAGCCAACATTTCCCATAGAAGAGGACATGGGTTCCTAGTACAGAATATATTAGGGACTATACTAGAGCAATGTTATGTCCACCCTTCATGGTCCTCTGGCAACCCTTCTATTAACAGTAGCTCATACCAGGGCTACATTCATCCTCCTCTCGTAAGCAGAGAATGAATACCGTCAATGGCCAATAACCAAAGAAAATGACAACTGGCGTATCATTCGGAACTTTATGGCACCTGGACTCAAGTTCTAATATGTTTCTTATAGGCCCCCCTATCCCCGTGTAGGCCGCCCCAAACCTAACGTTAGCGCGTAGCTCATACAGGGACTATTTTCAGGATCCATTACCACGGGTGCTCGTCATGACCAGGGTGCTCATAATTCCTTATTGCCTCTCGTTCATCCCTTGATGTGGGGAGTCCAATTAGTTTGTTAAGCTTGCTAACAAGTAATCTAGCTTGTTGCAACGCAGGTACCTTTGGATAAGAAGAATCAAGCCTGAGTAATTAAACCCTGAACCCTTCACCCTTAAACCCTACGCCACAACCCTAAAACCCTAAACGCTAAATCCTTAACCCTATACCCTAAATCTCACATCCAAACAACCCCTGCACTCATCGGACTCGGAATCCCTTTTTCAGCGCTGAGCGCGCTGACCAACAATCATGAGCGAGCGCTCTTGTGGCGAGCAATGGGCAAAATAACAGCAACACAAAACATAGAATGAGTTAATGATGATATGCGAGCAACAATAGTAATAATACTATTACTACTACGAATATTAATAGTAATAGTATATGAATAACAATCATAATGCTATTGCTACTCATAATTGCTCTTGTGGCGAGCATTGCGGTAGTTCCCGAAATTAGGGTCCCATTTTGGTACCCCTAAATTTTAGGTGCCGTAATATAATATATACCCCAAAGGGCCCATTATTTCGAGAACGACCCATTGGGCAAACTGCACAAAGGCCAGGCCGGGCCAAGCGCCCAGCCGTCTAAATAGCCGAAGCAGTCTGCGGCAGTTTCAAGGTTTTAGGGTCTGGGGTTTTAGGGTTTTAAGGTTTTAAGTTTCAGGGTTTAGGTCCAATGTGGATTTTCATTATGAAAGTGAATCGATGCACATGAACAGATTTTGCCAAATGACGGGTTACCCTCGCAATTGCAATACAGAATCTCTCAAATCAGGCCAGCTGCACCCTAAACCCAAGTCCTGAACTCTAAGTCCTGATCTCTAAAGCATACCTGAGCTGTAGTCGAAACTCCTAATCTCTCCCTTCATAACCTCTATAGTCGTCCCCTATATCATCCCCTCTATAACCGCCTTTAAGCAGCTAAGACTATAGCTCATATACCCCTATCACCCCTTTAAAGGCTCAGCTACACCACCGCCATGAAAGTGTCTTCTTCCAGCTCTGCCCTTCGGCAGGCGCGCCCGCGACAGCGGCTCATCGCGAAGAGCACCTGTGAGCTGGTTTAGGGTATTATACCTTGGGGCTTTATAGGGATAATGGAAAAGAAAATGGAAACTACTACTAGGGTCTTGGGTTTTTTGGGGTTATACTGGGGTTATACTGGGGTTATATTGGGGTAATTTTGGGATACTGGAAAAGAAAATGGAAACTACTACCTGTAGGGATTTTGGGTTTAGAGTTTATAGAGGTTATGTTGGGGTAATATTGGGATAATGGAAGAGAAAATGGAAAATACTATTCAGGGTTCAGGTTTAGGGGTTTAGGGTCTAGGGTGTTTAGGGTTTACCCTAGCAATCCAAGTATACAAATAAACGGCTATTTGGATTCCTGGGGTTAGGGCTTGGGGCGTGAAAGAATTTGGATGTAGAATCCAGAAAAAAAAAGGTCTTTTTACTAGCAAATTTAATCATATTTGGGACCGAAGGCCCTATTATCTGTGTCCTTGGACCCTTAGGGTTAATGCATGGGGCATGAAAGAGTTCCGGGGGGTTGGGGCTTGGGGTTGGAGGACTTGGGGCTTGTAGACTGAAGAGATCTAAGGTTTGGGGTTTGGGCCTATCATTAAGGTTTTGCTTGCATGGGGCGCAAGGGATGCATGGCGACTACAAATTGGATAGCACCTGTCCTTCTCAAGGATTCTGTGTATGAACTTTCTGAGAACCCCGAGTTGGAGAAACCCCACATCCTAGAAACCCCAAATCCTAAACCCTAAACAGCCCTCTGGATTTTAGGGTTAGGCACTACTCCGTATATCCTAAAACCCCAAAACCCTTTTGATCGTCCCCAGCCTTGCGCAGATGGCGCAGCAGCTGCCGATGTGTGCTCTCCGCCTGAGGGTACAGGTTGTCCATTTGCCACGGATCAGCCTTCCGAGGCTTAGGTTCAGGGTTTAGGGTTTAGTAGGGTTGTATAGCGGCTATATAAATATAGGGTTAACTGAAAGGAAAATTGAAGCTACTGCATTAGAATAGGGTATATATTAGGGATATACAGGGGTTATAAAGGGATAATGGCAAAGAAGATGTAAGCTACTACATTATAATAGGGTATATACTAGGGTTATATAGGGATATGGGGCCTGTTTAAGTTTAGGGTTTACGGTTTGGGTCTAGGCTTTACGGCTTGAGCGTAGCATGGGGGTCTGTTCAACTTAAGTAGGGTCTTGGCACGTATTTCATTTCGAACATGTAAGGAATCTAATATATACAAGGGGATGACATTACAAACTGTTCCAGGCACTTAGGTTTGAGAGTGTAGTGTGGAGGCCTGTTTATCTAGGTTGGGGTTGGGGTGTCCACTATCTCGGACATGTAAAGTTTAAAGGGACGATAGTTCAAATCATGTTTTGGGCTTCTGCATCAAGGCCCAGATTGGGGTACTGGGTTTTGAGATTGTGTTAACGAGGTTTGGGTTTAGGTTTCGGGTTCTGGGGCGTAGGATTGCGGCTTCACAATGATGTCGCGGGCAGCAATATATTCGTGACAACTGTACCGCTTCCAGTAGCACAACATGCTAAGAGCAAAAATGCATAACACTTAAACCCTAAACCCTGAACCCTATAAAACCCTAAACCCCATATATTCCATTATAGTCGTTTCCACTTTCTTTTCCATTATCCCCATATCCCCCATATGTAAACATCACGGCGACATCCATACGCGCACCCTGATGACAACCGTGATGGTGCCGCAATGATCTGTGTATTTCTCACAATGAGGGTCCACACTCTAAAAAAGCAGCAAATCTTCATTATACGGACTCCCCATCCTAAATCCAAAGCCCTAAAAAACCTCTCCTTTCCCGGAGGGTCCAAGTACCTAATAATTAGGTCTTTGGGTTTAGGGTAATAGTTAACATTATAGTACAGGTTTTGGGTAAGTATATGATTATTAGGTACTTGGACCCTTAGGATTTTCTGAGGCGTTTATCAGCCTTCAGGTCGTAAAACTCGATAAAGACAGGGCTGAGGTCTTCAAAGATTCGTGGCAGGTCACCCGAAGGCGTCCGGTCGGCGTAGAACTGTGCCAGGAGGAAGTCGCCCGCCTCACCAACATACCTCACGGCCAAAGGCAATGTGCGGGACGTGGGCCCTAAACCCTAAACCCTACCCTAAACACTGAACCACTACACCCTTCAGGGGAGCCATAGGGATTCTTGAGATTGCTATCGGAAAGCACGGGGGGCAAGACACGGCTAATAGGGCAAAATGTAGAGACCCTTGGGATCCAAATAGCCCTATGTAGTTAATATTGGGGTTAGGGGTTTCGGGTATAGCCTTTAGGGTTTAGGGTACTCTAGGGAGCAAAATAGCCCAATGTAGGTCATATTTACAGGCTTTAGGGCCCAATGTAATTATTATTTGTAAACTTGGATCCCTCAATGCAGCTCAATTTTCGCCTACAGACCTTGCTGCCAGGTAGGTGTTGTTCTCACCATCCAAGCTGTGATAGCGGCAGGTGCACCAGCTCCTTACGCAGCTTGGGGATGATTCATCTTCAAACAAATGCTGTAAATATAGGGGTTGTATTGGGGTAATATTGGGATAACGGAAAAGAAAATGGAAACTACTACCTTTAGGGATTTTGGGTTTAGGGTTTGTGGGGGTTATATTGGGGTAATACTGGGATAATGGAAAAGAAAATGGAAACTACTATATAATGTGGGGTATATATTAGTGGGGTAATGGACAAGAAAATGGAAACTACTGTATAATATGGGGTATATATTAGTGGGATAATGGAAAAGAAAATGAAAACTACTACAATGGGTTATATAGGGTTTCAGGTTCATATTGGGTTTATATAAAAAAGGGCAAATCAGAGGGCTCATCCCTAAACCCTAATTCAACCCTATTGAACCTTAAACCCTGGACAGAAGCAATTCTCAAATCTGCCCTCAGAATCTTCCGGCAGTCGGCACCCTCGCTAGGGTTGCACTGCTGGCTCTCCGGGGCTCCACGCTTGATGTTTCCCTGGCTCCAGTACTCGATGGGATACCTGAGTTTAGGGTTGATACCTGAGGTGCCCTCTGAAGGTACAGTAGAACTCCAAGAAAATCTTGAGATGTTACAGTAAGAAGGACAGAAAACTCTCAAGTAGACTCCAGGTACACGCTTCGCCACTTCGGCGTCTTGCCAGCTAGAAGCGGTGCCAACGAACGGCCATCCATTTCCTGTAGTCCCCCTAGAACTAGAACAAAAGCATTAGTTTTCATCATTCCTTAGGGCTAGATTGTAAATAGGAATTACTAAATGCCCCTAAACCCTAAACCCTAAAGACAAAATCCTGAGCAAGTTGGAGTCTCGTCCACATCTGGATCTCCCCCGGCCAGCTCAACTAAGGTTGGAGCCATGTCAACCTACAGCCATGGCATAGGGTTTAGGGTATATAGGGTTTAGGGTATGAGGGCTTGTAGGGCTTTGGATACGGAACATGATTAGTCTTAATTAGGCTTTGGTAAACGAAACACTGAAAAAACACAACGACAATCTCTGGATAAGCTTGGACATCCTAACCCCACCCCCCCCCATGGTAATGTAGGCCCGTGATTGATAAGCCACCTCCCCTTCATAGTGATTAGAGCCAGGATCCTAATATGAAGGCCCTTTAAAGGAGGGGGGTTATTAATTAGGGGTCTACACTACCGTCCCTGTGCAACCACAACATGGATTAGACTTCGTTTGGTTCATGTTCTACAGTATCTGACATGTTAGCTTTTCATGCTAATTAGTAAGGGCAGGTCTCGAATCAGCGTCCTCGTGCTATATACTCCCTGTGCAGCAATTTACAGATAAACAGGGACTCCAAATAGACCCATATAACCTGTAACATTTCTTACAAGGGCCCCCCAGGAGAGGTACCCCTAAGTTCGGGAAACCCCATATACAGCTTAAAAAGAGAACACACGATTTTTCCTAAGGAGGCTCCAGTGACCATGCCAGCCACCGCTTCAACGCGACTGCCGCGCTGTACGCCGGGGCCTAGGACTAGGGATACTTGCAGGGTTTAGGGTTTAGGTTTACGGAGTTAGGGTTAGGGTTTAGGGTCTAGATACTTGGAGGCTCATGCGTAGATCTAAATGGGGGGTAGAAGCACCCAGTAGCGCGGATCATAGCTATGGCCATCTTACTTGAATAGAGTTGCAGGAATTTGATGGGGAGATGGGAAAGGCTGTAATTAAAGGGATTGTTGGCAGAAACTCCAAGCCTCGAATCAGCATTGGCACACGGATGTCGTTTTCGTACCTGAATCTTTTACCCCAGGGAAAACAGCTCACAGTTGATGGCCTTGATAGACTTCAGCGCCTCCCGAGGGTAAAACACCTACCACCGACCAGTGCTGCGTCATTGTTGGGGCAAAGCCTAATTTCTGGCTTTAAGAACTTCCGTTCATATCTCACTGATATAAGCGTGTAGTTCTATCACAATGTAACTCCAAGCAATGGCCCAGATGCACGTTGAACTTCCCACTCGGCCTTGCCTGTTGACCAAGGGCATATCCATGATCTGAAGTGAGAAGCACATAGGTGTTGTCTAGGACGCCCTTGCGGTGCAGTAGCTCGAAGATATCTGCTACAAGGTCGTCCACACTCATCACGGACTCCACCCGGGAACGATACAAAGAATCACTCCAAGCGACTGTGAAGTCATCCATCTTGGGCTGGTTTGCAATTAGCGGGTGCGCGCGTGTGTTGGGCACGTTCCAGTTAGCAGTTCGCGGTGCCGTTACGTTGCCAGTAGCGCCTGCGTGCCAGGGAGCGGCTTGAGTGATGTAGGGGTACTGTGCGTCAGAAATGTGAGGCGCATGAGGAGCAACGTAAGCAAAGAACGGCTGCTTGGCGCCCGCAACCTTACGAAGAGGGGGGCCGTCGGGGACAGGGCATAATGCCTTTGTATGCAGCTGAGCTGATCATGCCCGTGCTCATGGGGTCCCTTTTGAGGGTACCTATCATCAGGAATATCAGGTATTGGTGTATAGGAGGTTTGGAAATCCACCGGAAAACCTGCATAATCTGTGCATAGACACCTTTTCTAGCCAGGAGATAGTCCTGTTGCCAATCACAGCCGTCATGTAGTCCTCGGGCGAGTTCCCTGTAGACACCACCATGCCATCATCGTTGTATGTGTTCCTTACTTATCCACGTGGCCCCATAAGAAATGATCAACTTTACTTGATTGAAAGGACCCAAGTAATCAGTAATGTGTTTGCAGGGTTTAGGTTCAAGGGTTGTTTCGGGTTTAGAGGTTAGGACCAAGAATGCTGAATTCGAAAGCCGAGAAGTCTTGAAATACTTGCCCATGTTGCACAAGCCGAACCATCGATCCCAACCTCAGGGAACTAGAGAAAGTACAAACCAAAGCTAAGCCCTAAACCCTAAACTCTAGACCACTGCCGGGACAACTCTTCAAGAAAACAGTGATTGATAGGGGGCCACTGGGTTCCCATGCTAGTCTGGGGTAGGTGGGTTGCGTTGCCAATCGGCCAGTGGCTTAGGTTCTTACATCAAGGACGCCGCGGCTGTATCTCATGCCATCATCTTGAAGTCAGCAATAATGGTAATAATAATAATAATAAACAAGAGTAATAGCAATAGTTATAATAGTACGTAATGATAGTAAGGCTAAAAATTCATTACAAGGAAATGGTGATAAGAGTGAGACAAAGTCGAAAACAAGAAAAATCCTGTGAAATGTCTGGGAACAGTCGACCCCGTATGCTCCCGCTACATAGAACCCTAAACCCTAAACCCCTAGACCCTAAACCCCTAAACCCCAAACCCTGGACTCATCGCCACGTACATCAACACACGGCAGGGGCGAGATGCTTCAAACATCTGCAAGTTTCAGAATTTCATACGCCTAAGATTCAAATTGAATAGTTTGCACATGAATGTGCATAAAAACTCAAGCCACGGAAGACCCCCTCTATCAGAAGCCTTTCCAAAAGCGGTCTCAAAGAGGGGCCCTTAGCACTCTTGGGCTATGCAAGCGTTGCAGGCGATTCCCTCCTGGTGGAAATTATGGACGCAATACTGCTTGTGCCAATTGCCTGGTGGTACCGCCTCGTCGCCCTTCGGCATCACCTGGGAATTTCTCAAAGACCTTCCTCCACATGATACTGGGTGGTTCAATGTAGCGACGAGTAGCGTTGCAAGAAACGGAAACAAGGGTTAGAAGTATAGTGGCCTGCTGGTGACCTCAGTTACATCCAACCAAGAGCCACTAGTCACTTTCCTTATTCGGACATAGCCTTGTTTTACTTGTTGCCCTTAGGGTCCAAGTACCGAAAAACCATATACTTACCCAAAACCAGTACTATAATTACCAATACCCAAATCCCAAGTACCTCTATTTTGGTTACTTGGACCCTAAACCCTAAACCCTATATACCCCTACCCCTTTAAAGGGGCCAAGTTATTGGCTTGGACCCTCTGGGTTGTATCCCCCAGCAAGGGGCCATACTTTTTTAGAAGCTCCCACCTTGCACCCCGACTCCACCGGGCAGGAGCAAGGAGGGGAGTTCATATACTTCCCGAAAAGGCCTCTCGATGGTTTAGGGTTTAGGGGTTTAGGGGTTAAGGGTTTAGGGTTGTGGGTTTTGACACGGTGTAGATGTGTATCTATTGCAAATCAAATTCCCAAAGAAATTCTCGGCTACAAGTAGCAATGAAGACAACAGAATGCAACAGGATTTCCCAGAATGTCCCAACTTAATTCACACTTAGCCCCTTCTACACAAAAACTGACACATGTTTCTTTTTGGATCACAGAAGCCGTTTGTGTAGCCCAGCTTGGATAAATAGCTGCCTAACTGGTTGTGGACGAAATCTGGACCTGTAACATTGGCCCACATACCTGGCCCAGGTCTGTGAACCAAGTTTCTGCCTGGGTTTAGGGTTTAGGATTAAGGGCTTAGGGAGTAGTATGAAGGGGCGGTCAAAATTGTGCTCCTTGTTTGGGCGGCCTTTTGTGATGGGGACTTACAAGGCAACATAACTTTGACAACCCTATTCGTGTATGTATATGAATATATATATATATATTATATATATAAACGCATATTCGCACACATTGTCTTGAACCTGCGATGAGTCCCGCACAGCGACCTCACCGCCCAAGCGATGCTTTTTGAAAAAACACGACCGCAGTTTGGGGTTTAAGGTTTAGGGTTTAGGGCTTATACCGATTTCTAACAGATTGGGAGGGTGGTATTCGAAGAGCCAAAAGCTTTCAAAAGGGCTTCCGGGATACATCCGCGACTTCCGCTGGAAAGCGCATTCCCATGCCCCAAGGGCCCAATGAGGTTGTTGTGTCCTCAAACTCACTGGTTCTTGGTAGGGAATAAGGGAATACAATGCCTAAATATAACCCCTATATACTACATTCCCTTATTCCCTACAAAGGACCAGTAGGCGAAATGCACCTCTAAATATGACCCCTATATACTATATTCCTTTACTCCCCACAAAGAACCACTAGGTCGAAAGGAAAATGGAGGTCCCAAGCTTAGGGACGCCAACAAGACCACAGATCGCGCAAAACCATTTGAGTAGTGCTTTTTGTGGTGGTTGAACCTAGTAAGATTCTATTCCTTATATAAAATACTATACCCCAAAAGGAGGATACATATAATCTTACTCTATATTGGGTACCATAGTATCCGCAAATAAAATGCGAGCTCACCAAAGCACAGTATGTCTCGCAAGATCCCTTGCATCCCCACCAAACTCCAAGCTTTTTTGAAGTCCACCGCGGCAGTCATATGATGAAGCATGAGTGCTATCTCTGATACTTAAACTCCAAGACTATATATGGTAGTTTCCCAAAANNAATTTTGGGAAACCCCTATATATAGGTGATTGCCTGGATATAACCTGAGCCTCTTTACGTATCAGCCCACACACCTTCAGAAGCCGAGAGTCCATAACGGCCTCCCAGCAATTCCGCGCGGGAAGGACAGCAGACAGGAGTGTTGACAAAGAAGTTGGTGAAGTTGGTGCCATTCTCACCTGCGCTGACCCCAAACATTGGACCCTGGACCTTATTAATGCTCTTGCGGCTTGTTCTTTGCACAGATGTACTAGATTACTAGATGTTATCCAAACAAGAACCTGAGTCTAACTGTCATATCCGGGCCCCGGGATACCAATATCAAACGAACAAAAACTTAACCTGAAGCCTTAAAGGCGCAGAATCACGACTGGTCTTACACTTTCCTTCATAATCCTCATATAACTATAGCGTATAGTTTCCCGCCCGTTCATCTGTATATATGATCATCACATATTATTCCCCAATATTATGTTTCAGTTAATCTGCGCCCCCACCTAGGAGGCGTCGAATGTTGGGAAAGGGGTCCATGCCGCCCAACACCTGGTCTTGGTCGTCCAGCAAGATCCTTTGCTCAAGGTACCACCCACAGGGACCATGCACCTATATAGTGCATACTGAGGCTTCAGAGTAGCTATTAGGGAACCCCGTTGCATGCTTAGAGCAGAACTTGAGGAAATGATTGAGGTGCTGCATTCTACAGGCTGCGGTTCATAAGGGCTTGCAGGGAATGTGGGTTCCCAATATATGGAGGTTTCCTAAAATTAGGGTTCCCTTTTGGGGGGTCCCTATAATAAGGACAATAATCTTGTTGGGTCCATATTGGTGTCCCCGTATTGAGGGAAACTAAGAAGATGCCTTGAGCTTCTCCACATTGGAGCGTTCAGCACTATACCAGGATCTTGTTGACATACCCCCTTGCGGTTCTGGTTCCAGCTGCAAGGAAAAACAAGCACGAAGGATACACAAATGTAGAACCTGATTGACCCGTGCTACGGGAAGCCCCTTTCAGAAACTTAAAAGCCCAGTCTCAATATCAAGTTTGGCCTCGGCTTGGCATCACCTGCCGCCACCAGCGAAAGCAGAAGGCTGGACAGAAGGCAGGTCATCCCTCGATGCATGGCCATCGGAAGGCAAAGGAGACGAAGTGTTCCCAAACACGCAAAGGACAAAACTACTTTCAACGCTTCTAGGAAGGGCAGATTTGTCAGCACCTTCCTCCGAGCATTTGAGCCTGTGGCCTGAGCTCCCGGCTGTGAGATTTCTAGTTTGGGCTGTCACAATGATTCCACAACGATTCAGCCACTGTTCGCTTCGTTGGACTATCTTCTGCGGGCAATTGGATTAGGAGTTAATCGTGTCAGAGGCCAAAGGCACCCTGCGATAATCTTTGCTTGACTTCGGTAGCTGCTGCTCAAGCTAGCGGCCTCCAACAGCTGCAGCTTGTCAAATCGTTAGCCCAACTAGCCTTTCTCAATATGGGCCACCTGTCTGACTGCTATGTACGGGCTGAAAGAATGTCCGAAACTAGTTTCCCGTACGATCTTGGTGGTGTGAATGGCCACGGCGGCCTGGTCCTCCCACCCGTCGAATGCCCACATTGTAGCTTTCCGCGGAAGTGGTCTGGTAGCTTACTTACCTTAAAGGGATCATCTGGAGAACTCTTGAGAGCAATCTCAAGCAAGACGCGAACCCACAACTGCAGATGCCCAAACCCGGAACACTTAAGCCTACAGCCCAACAACCACAAAAAACCTTGGCCCTGATGCTGGGTCGTCCACCATGCTCTGCCGCAAGATCTCGATGGGCGGCATGGCACCAAATTTCTCCTGCAGACGATGCAGTAGGGGCACGTCACAGTAACAAATATCATGTTGAGGTCCGCTGGAGGTACGCTATACCATAATTGTACCAGGAACCGAGGACCCCATGATGTTGGTAAGTGTCCCTTTGAAGCCCCTCCCTATTAAAACCGAGTTTGCATGGGCATTGCGGCAATTCCATTTTCTTGTTCAATTGGGGCAGTAGAAACAACACGTTCCCAAGCTTGGCTTCCTCAACACAATCTTGTCCAGCAAACTTCTTCCTCTGACACGCGGTTTGCTCTTCAGCTAAAAATCATCACATGGAATGGAAAGCACTCTGATGGAACTACTGAAGGAAATGTCCTTATCGGTAACTCTCCTCTGGTTACAGGTGAAGGCTTTCTAGAGGCAATAACTTAAGGGACCTGCTAAGACTGAACCAAGAGGCGAAGGGGTTCTTTTACCGCCCCAATTTGATTCTCAACTATTACCCTGAACCTAAACCCTATATCTCACCTAAGACCCCCTTAAAGGGACCATTATATTGCTAATTACCTAGGCGCAAACCCTATATCTCCCTTCAGACCCCTCTTTAGGGACCATTAACTTGATCGTTACCTAGACCCTCCTCCTAGCCTCTATTAGCCTAGGTACCTACTATTAGGGACCATCTATCCCCAATTAAGGGTACAAGGAGGGTATAGTATATAATCCCAGTTTCCATTTCAGTTTCCATTTTCTTTTCCATTTGATTCTCCAGTATAGTAGTTTCCATGTTATTTTCCATTACCCCAATTAAGGGTACAAGGAGGGTCCTGGTACTTAGGTCCCTAGACATTACCAACATTGCTGTGCTGTGCGGCGTGGGCCTGGGGTGTCAGGCTCTAACTTTGAAGCCTCTTGGGGGTTATGGTTTAGGATTTATTGGGTTTATATTGGGATAATGGAGAATCAAATGGAAACTACTATTTAGGGTTTAGGGTTTAGGGTTTAGGGTTTAGGATTGAGGGTTTAGGGTTATATGGTTTAGGAAGGTGTATTCGAAATATATAGGGATCTATAGGGATCTGCAGAGATGTGGAGCACCAAAGCTGTCATTATTTCACAAGAACGACCAAGACTTGCAAATTTTGACTGCTGGGTTGGGGTCTGGGGTTTGCAGTCTGGGGTGCGGGTCTGGGATTTCAGGCCGGATTTGGCGGGAGTTAGCCCTGAGGTTTCATGGGCTTGTGGTTTTTGAACATGGTTTTCATGGGCTTCTGGTTTGTGAGCATGGTTTGCATGGGCTTCTGGTTTGTTTTCATGGGCTTCTGGTTTGTGAACATGGTTGTCATGGGCTTCTGGTTTGTGAACATGGTTCAAAGTTTCAAGAGTACGGCTGAAAGGCAGGCACAAGAAAATGACTCCTTCGCGAGACCGTTGAGAAGCTTGGGGATCCTTGCAACATCCAGACCCCAAGAAGCCCAGATACCTGTAAAGTCGTATGACCTACAACCCACGAACTTACACCCTAAAAACCCTAAACCCTAACCTACTTGGGCTGCCAGGGAACTTCCGTGGTTTGTTGGAGTTGGATGCGACATTCAGCAAAGGAAGCCTGGGTCTATTGCACATAGCCTATTCCTAGCATCTTGCTCACCTACAAACCCTAAAGGGGTTATATTGGGATAATGGAAAAGAAAATGGAAACTACTATTCAGGGTTTAGGGTTAAGGGTGTAGGGTTATAGTCCCCCTTAAGTAGATAGAATATGGCTTGGGGTATATGATCCCCATATACCCCATATTCTATCTACTTAAGGGGGACCATAACCCTAAACCGCGCCTGTGTTTAGGTGGGGCAGGCGGGGAAATCTAGTCCCCAGTGCACCGTGCTATCCTTGACGGGCATGTTGAGATCGTCTACCATGACGACGCACATGCGGCCTGGCAACATTGCCAGCAGCTTAGGGTTTAGGGTGTGGGGTTTAGGATTTAGGGTTTGGGGTTTAGGGTATTCCCCCAAACCTTACATTAGATTCAGGATCCTAGTATCATGTAAGGTATATGCCCTAAGTATAGGATATTGGTTTTATCTGGATTGTGTCAGTTCTGATGTCCTTTTGCATGTCCTCTTGTGGGATACCTTGCCAGCGTTGTGAAATAATTATTGAGGTCTAAAGAGTAGGGCCCCGTGCAGGCGGGGCACTCTGGAATCGATAGGTGTGATTGTTATAAAATCCTTGCATAATCCCCATGTATCCCGAATATAATCCCTTATTACTGGAAATGCAGCACGAACCTAAACTCCCACTTGTCAGCTTGTTGATGACTTTTGCTTCTAGATAGGCCACTGCGCGGAAGAACCCGGGGTTTAGGGATTAGGAGACCTTACGTGGACCTCACCCCACCAGTAATAGTGACTACAGAGGATTATGCTGGATAAATTCGGGTCCTCTTATAGTATAAGGTGGTAGGTACGGAGGGACCTGCAGGATTTTTGTATCCACCGAAGGAGTACCACGACCCCCTCCAATATGAACTCGCCAAACTGTAATGTACCAAGAACCCCCCAATAAGGTCCTTAACATGTCAGCGGCCCTTTTATGCGTGGGGAAGGCTGTAGTAGCCCCATGAGTTTAGCCTGCAGAGATAAGGACTTAGCTAATGATTAGGGTTCACGGGTACAGGTGCTTTGGGGATAAGGCGGAGGGTTAGGGATCAGAGTTCAGGGTTTAGGCATCGGGGTCCAGGGGTTATAGAGCTTAGGAACGAGGATTTAGGGTCTAGGGAATGAGGATAGGTCCACCTAAAGAAAATCCCTGATTTGGAGACGACCCATTCTATATCATGTGGTCCGCCATTTTGAAGCCAAAAATATGTTACATCTGTGACCAAAACCATTCCTGTGAGAGTTCTTGCCACAGAATGATCCGCATGCCCGAACACTGATCCTGAGCCCATCATGATAATTCCCAACGACGATAAACATGTGAGAGTTGCCCTTCCATGCCGCCAAATACTATAATCCCTATTACCGGGGCCCCAAACAGGGACACCTGATTTGTTGAAGCTCATGTATAACGCCTGGAGCCCTTCAAGCTTGGAGGAGTCTTGGAGGCCAGACGTGTGAGTTTAACGAAATCATGGGAGCCCATGAGGAGTGAAGAAGACCGACACCCTACACCTCTCAATTCCCCAAAACATCCAGGCTCCAATACCCCTAAGACCCTGAAATCGAAACCAATCTTGGGCAGGCACCCATGGGCGGTCCGTAGACTCCCTTGCGACGACGCTCTAGCTTCGCGTCAATCAGATCCTCCCACATTGTACAGTTTGCGGTGTACGACTTGGGGTTTGCAGGTTGGGATTTAGGACTTCGGGGTTCCAGGCTTTGGATTTGAGGTTGCGGGTTTGGGGGACTGTTCATGGCGGGTTGTCTATACCGCTTACAATTGCAGCGTAAACCACAGTTGTTTCCAAAAACGGGATACGTCCAGTGCTGCCCAACAAGGAGAAGGCCCTAGAATGAAATTCTGGATTCCCATAGTCATCCTTCAATGGGAGGTTCCCAACATTAAGGGTCCCGCCTCTATATTCAGATCACAGCTTTTGGGGTCTATATTGAGGTCCCCCCATATGAGCTACAGTCTAAACTCCTTAAGGGAGGGTTATATAGGGGATAATATAGGATTAAGGGGGATACTGGGAGTTTAGACTATAGCTCATACAGGGAACCTACAAACCA